GACAAGCCTCACCCAGGTGATGCATTCAGGCTTTGCCACCGTTAAGTGGCTGTGCACAGTAGAGTAACAAGATTGGCCATGGCACACCAAAAATATTGACAACGAATAGCACTTTGGATAATCACAGATTGCAAATCCTCTTAAATGCATTCGACTCTAACAGATATATTTAGACTTAGATGAATAGCACTGGGGGGATTTCTTAAAGTGTCAATTGGTGTGAATGAACATAGCTCGGCTTTAAAGGAGCTACACGGCTTAGGGATTAAGGCCAACTGGAAAAATTCACTCAAAAAAGAAAAAAAAGCCTTCAAGCTCACAAGAGCAGCTCCTTTGTTTAATTGAGGCGGATACACGTCAATCCTTCGGACACGTGTGGGTGGCCCCGTGATGGTTCATCTCCCTCCGTTTGTTCAAAGAAGAGTTTTTAATTGTGCATAAGTGGCAACGTGCGACTCCCTATGAGACAATCTTTGTAGCAACAACAAGGAGGGAAAAAAAACCCAAGGAGCAGTCATTTGTATTTCGCCTCAGCAGATTTTTAGCAGGAAGACTGAATATGAAACGGCTTCATTTTTAAATCCTAAAGAGAATTTCCGAAGCAGCCCATAAGGTGCCACTTTAGTCAGAGGCAATTAAAAAGAAGCCTAGAATAGCAAGAAAGAGAATCACAGAACTTGTCTGGACATTCTAGGCGAAAAAAGTTACGAATCATAAACTCCATTCCGACACCCTTCCTGACTCCACTGGCTCTTCATACTCCTGCATAAAATGCTCCACGTTGGAGGTGGGAACAGGGCAGGAGGTACGGTGCAGACAGCAAGGGAAGTCTGTATTACTTAAGATATACATTGCTTGTCCTGTTTTAACTGCAACATCGTCAAGCGTGTTACACGCACTTAATAAAAGGGATGGTGCAGAATTTCTCCCCATAGGTGAGCGGTTCTTCTCAAGGGTCGAATTCCAGTCCTTCCTTGATAACGTGGGCATCGCTAGAAAAAAGTTGACACCTACCAGAAGTAGCTTCTCTCTGGGTCTTTTTTTTTTTTTTCTTTCCCCACAGTCCTTAAGGATCATTGCAGAAAGCATTTTCAAACTTAAATTCTTCACAGTAGAGAGGGAGTAGGGACGTATTAAAACGTGGCTCCTGGAAGTGAGATGTCAGCAGAGGACAGCCGGCTGCTTGGCTCTCCTGCAAGCACCGCATTTAGGGTGGCTGCGCCACAGCCTTCCAGCCTGCAGGAAAGCTATTCAACGCAGCGTAAAGCTAATTACTGTAAAACAGGACTGAGTCCGTGTGGCAGCTGTTCCGTGTGGACAATCACGCCGCTCCATGGCCTGTTTTCTTTCAAAACGTGTGCCCTTTCCCCAGCCTCAAATGCGCTGCGTGTATGTAAAATAAACGGTCTTCGCAGCGGGACCCGGGTTCCCAGGGCTTAAAACCAGTAAGAGTCCTCTAGTAGTTCAATGGCCCTTAAATGCTCGACATCTTTTTCACTCAATGTAAAATCCATCTGATCTAATAGCCGTGACTGAGTTATAGATACATAATTTTTTTCTATTAAATGTTAATCTTCTGACTTGGCAGAGCAACAGAAGCTCTGAATTATTAAGAAGGCAATAACCTCTCTAAACTCTTCCCTGAATTCAGAAGATTCCCAGGACTGCTATCTTGAAAAAAAAAAAAACGAAAACCTGCTTAAAATATAAAATAAAAATTGTGCCTCCTAAGTGCAATTTGATGGCAAATATAAGGGGCATCATTTTCACTGATGTCTCTTCTGTTACTTCACTACATACACGTGCATGTGCGTGCACACACACACACACACTCTCATGTATCTGGAGAAGCAACCCTTGAAGGTCTTGGCTCTTTTTCATTTACATACGACATTTTTGTAACCTTCCCATTTTGGTTGAATTCATTCATCATGCAAGTTTGTTCATGCGGCAAAAATAATGAAAATGCCCTCTGCTGCATGAGTGATGTCACTGCCCGACTACGCCAAACACAGCGCTCTCCCTGCCCAGGGCGTCCTCCTGGAATGCCGTCTCTGCTGCAGCTTCTTTCAGAAAAAATCTCTGCATTCACAACTCCTGTGAGCCAAAGGTCCGCATATGCCACGGGAAGAAGCAAGTTACCACTCACCCGGAGAGGCTAATCTAGACGGTCTCGCCTCAGTCAGACAAGACCAAAACCCACGGAAGACTTGAATTTCCAGCAACGGAGCCTTAGCCCCAGCTTGGCTGCGGCACCACCCAACGGAATAGGAGACGAAGTGCTTACTCTCCACTTTGTGTTTTGTGGTGCCAGTTTTTTTTTTCCTGAAAATTGTTCATAATTGCTTTTCCCCTCTCTGAAAATGGTTCACAGCATTTAGCAGCCAAGAGTAAGGCCCAGGTTCTCTGCCCCACCAGACACATGCAACACGATCGTCACAGGCAATCCTCTTTCAATCCTTATTTTGGTGCCAGAGGTACTGCCATCACTTTGATGCACAGAACACGCAAGATGAAAAAACATCACCACAAGGCTGCAGAATCCAGTGACGAAGAAAATAAAAGAGGCAGCAAGAAGTAGTTCTTTTTCCCACCATGGTGAAGCCAATGTCCAGACAGACCCGTAAGCCCTGCTCTTCGCCACTGGGCAGCAGTGTGCACACGCCCGACGCATCTCATCATCACAGCCCCAAAACTCATCTGAAACTCTTCCCTCTGCTTCTCCGAAACAAGCGAACTGAGAACACGAAGCCTTCAGGCAGGTAAGAAGCTGGTGCGTGAGAACAGTTTTTAGGTCCTTGTTAGAGGAAAGCTGGTAACATGGGGCTGGGGGGGGGGCTCATGTTCTAAAGCTGCAAGATTTTTAAAGCAGCAGTGACCCAATGCATTTAGAATAACACAAAATTTTAAACTGTATAACATTGGTTAGGGTCAAGAAGAAAGGTTTAAATAAAAACCAAGCCATAAGAAAGATTAAGCTAAATTCACCTGGAATTTTAGAGCAGTGCACGTGTGGCCAGTGACTAGAGCCACTGTAATATTAAATTTTAAGCTGTTCGTTGCACTGACACTTGCTTACGCTTTAGCAGCTCTTTACAACGCTGACCCTCTGTCAAAGGGAACGAGCTTTTCTGATGAGGGAGCAGGAGTGATAAGAAAAAACAACGAAACAAGGAACAGCAGTCAAAGCTTTCAACAAAGACTGCGCTCCAAGAGGAATTCGTGATTCGTTCCAAGAGCACTCACATCTCAGACAACAGCCTTCAGTCCAGCCTCACAGTCTTTCTGACACGAGGAGAGAGACAGCAGCATCCATTGGGTACGCTCCAGCTGCTCGCTGTCCAGTGCTGTACATGCAACCTGTGCCTCTGTAGGCACAGGTGAGTGTGCGACACCGGGAGTAATTCAAGGTCACTTGAGTTTGCCCTCCACACAGCTACCTGAAAATGAGGGTCACCGTCTGTACTTGGCAACCCATCCTTCTCTCCCCCAGTTCTCCAAAAGGAGCAGATGGACTGGTTTCCCTTGTAAATCTCTTACTAGGATGTTTAAAGCAATATTCCACAGAAAGCATTTTATTCATGGTTGAAGAAAAAGTAAAACACATGAACACACAGAGGAGTTCTCTTCCCACCCCTAGTAAGGAAATCACAGTGCTGAGATGTGAGTCCTCAGCTGAGAACCTCCTCTGCAGCTTCGACAGGTGACCTGAAACGCATGGCACAGAGCTCGTGCTCAAGGACAACATCCCATAGAAAATTAAAGATCCCAAATCCTGCTTTTGCGAGCTGCAGGCGCCCACCCAGAGGAACCAACATGAACCCCGCTCTGACTCCGCTGCTGTTTCCATACTGAACACATCCGGTGGCTTATTCTGTGGTGAGAGAAGCTATTTTGATGGTCCTTTGTCCTTGTTCTCAGACATAAATAGGATCAAAAATCCTGCTCAGGACGCTCAAAGATGACTGCTCAGGCACACTTTCCAGTTAAAAAGCTTGGCTGAAATGACTCATTTGCTTAGTTTATTTGTTAATAATCAAATCAGTAATTTCCAATCTGAATCATAAAATATTAATAAAACAAAACACACAAACTCTCCTTAATGAGATGCAGTTAATAAAAATGGTTGGTTGTAACATTCACTATAAATGTGTCCGATGTTGTTACTGTCTTGCTCTCTGTATCCTCAGTTTGCCACGTTACTGCACTTAAAGCTCTGTCATCTAAAACCAACCCTCTAATGCTGATTTTGTCAGAAAGCTGCATCGCACATCATTAATCTCATTAATGCACTTTTCCTATAAGTTGGCAAACACATTTGGAGGACGCACATATAACGAGTGGCTGGTTACCACAGGAGCAAATGTCAAAGTGATTACTAAAGAAAGTCTAAAAACTGTTGACACTCCGGAAAATCTAGCATACCATTCACCATAGTTCTCTAAAAGTGAAAATTAAGATACAGTTGTGTGGATTATGAGGCTATTATAAATTCCGCGTACAGCCCACCATTGCCTGTTCTTAATCTAATGTAAGTTAGCACTGCAGACCGTTTGTGAAAAGAAATTTATTTTAAAAGGCATAAAAGTTACTAGTGTAAGAAGAAAAAAACCCTGTACCTCCAGAAGTCAAAGGCACGCATTAAGTCACTTCAATGAAGCGCCCCCGGCCAGCCAGGTTGTCGTGTGTTCCCTGAAACCACACCAGGCCTCGCGGCTCGACTGAAGACCCGAAAGATCTTTTGATCCACTTGAAAGTGGCCACCTACTCAATTAGTTTCTCTGAAAGAAATCTTCAAATAATTATTTCAGCTTAACCCCTCTTCACATGGACCCACTGAGATAGCTCGTGTGTTACTGGGGACTCAAGGGTGTAAGAACAGCTAGCCAGTGCAAGGCAAAGAGTTGCCTTTTTGGCCTAATTGTAGTTAGTATATAGAGAATACAAGAGTTGAACTGACACTGAAACACTGGGTAACATATACATCTAATAAAAAAACCTACTGATGGATCAAAATAGACTTTATTTTAATTACACTAGCACAGTGGGGCCCAGAGAGGCCGTGGCGTTGCACACAGGACGCTCAGCACCACAGGGAGGGCCGCCCCCGGCCGCCGCGCCGCCGCTAGCACACGAGCCCCTGCCGCATCTGTATGATCTGCAGCAAGGCCGCCTGCACGTCTTCGTCCATGTGGCCCTCGGGAGAGAGAAGAAGAGGGGACATCGTTTACGTCATCCTCGTTTACACAAGAAGTCCAAAGACAAAGACTTTCCGACAGGGCCAGACGCCGAATCCTCAGCGTCCCGGTGATCCCCTAGAGGGTCTGCTGGAGAAGGGAGTGGAGCCTCTCACGGGAGTAAAGGACGCAACTTAAAAGCAGTGCCCATCAGCTGCTCTTAACGTTCACCGTCAGAGAACACACGGACAGACTTCTCTCTCTCTGAGTGATGGCTCGGATGATGGGGGGTGTGAGTTATAGATGAGCAAAGCCAGTGACGAGGAAATTTCTTTTTTTTGGCTCTTGCTAATTTTTTTTAATTAGACAAGAAATTAATGACAAAATCCCCATATTCATATTTTTTACATAAACAGGATCATATATTTTGCAGTCTGCCTTTTCGCCTGTCACAGAAGTCTTTCTCAAGTGATCTCCTCGCTTATTTTATGGTACAACACCCCACTGTGTGGATGTATCTCAATGTCTTTACTCATTCTCCCAAGGATGGGCGTCTACAGGGGTTCCGGTCTTTGGGGGCAGGTTCCTAGAGAAGAAGCTGCCAGGTCAGCAAAACAGGCTCGATGTTTAATTCTGCTAAGAGCTACACGACTTCCCTCCATCAAGGTAATAACGTGCACTCTCCCGACGGGGAATGAGCGTCCCTGCCCCACAGCGCCCCGGGCGGTGCACAGACGATCACCTTGTCTAAAGTTTGTCGATCCCGGAAGTGAAAAATGGCACCTCCTTGTTTACTTGTATTTCCCCCACTACTGGGTAGGTTGAGATCTCTTTACACGAACATTATCCACTTATATTTAGAAAGAGACACTTTAAACTTAAAAAGATGGCAAGAGGTTGATTAAATGCAAGTCAATCTGGTGAGCTCACACCCCCCCTCCTTTTTTCTTTGCTTGAGCACTTGAATAGGTTTCAGCATAACACTTCCTATTAATATCAAAAGTTTTGCTTCTAAAATCTGTTTCTATAACAGCAGGATGTTTAAATTCCAAACATTAGCCATAGTTGACTAAACTGAATTTCTTAGTTAACTTTATGATGCCAGAAGGCAAGATTATTTCAGATGCCAACTGCTTTTGTTATGTTTCATTAGGAGTCAGCGGAAAAAATTTCGAATTTCAGAAGCATACATTATACAAAGTTGAAGCTCGTTAGTGTGCGTCTTCCGGCGAGAATGTGCTCTTCCTCCCTGGCCAGCACCAGGCCCAAGCAAGCGCCTCGCCCTGCCGGACACAGACCTTCCGCGCTTCCCTGCGGTCTTCCCTCCCAAGGGCCCCGTCAGCAGTCTTCTCTAACAGCTGCAGTCACAGCGCACCTCCGAGTCCCAGCCCGCCTTCCATCTGCCCAGAGGAAGAAGCCAAAGCTACTTCACCAGGCCATTCATTCTTTTTCACCGGTTCCCCCTTCATCTCCTATAGAAAAGGTAGGCTTTTTCATTTCAAGAGTTTGATGTCATGAAATTTCTTCTTTTTCATTATTTCACCTGTTTTTTTTTATGACCTTCTCTGAAGCTTTCTCTCAACAACTTTTCTTTTCCCCCCAGTGTGGACACTTTAAATCCTAAACAATTCTTAGTATATCTCACCTGCTATTGTAATGTTGTCTCTACCGTCTTCCCAAAAAATCCATTCTGAGAATTTTGGAGATGCTGAAATCACAGGGCTTCTACAGAGCATTAAGTACCATATCCTCTTATGTGAATCATTTTTCTCAGTGTGACTTTTAAGTAGCTTTCCCATCACGTCCCTAAGGAAGGAGACTCACAGTCTCACGCCTCACCACGGTGAAGGCTCAACAGAGGGAGGGCACAGCGCGTGCGCAGCACCCAAGAGGCCCTGGGTTCAATCCCCCGGACCTCCTCCAAGTGGAAATCAACCAATAAATACTGCTGATATTCTTCACAGAACCAGCTTTTCTTTAAATTATGACAGTTCTGTGCACACTTTACTTGTCATTTTTCCACTTCTTTTGTCTCCTCTACGTTTCAAAGAAACACTCCTGAGCTCCCAGGAAACAGTGAAGTCCTTCCCACCCTCCCCTTTCGGCTGACAGTCGCGAGTGGACATCGGGGCGCTGCCTCCAGCCAGCAATGCCGTGAGCGTGCGCTGCCATCACATGTTGCCAAACCATCCAGAACGTGAGTGACAAGCAGATGGGACAACACTAAACTTAACATGCTGTGTTGCCACACAGCTTCGTACATTTCTCTGGGAGATATGCAAGCCATGATTAAAAGAAACAATTATTTTAAAATAAGCATATGGGGTACAACTACTTTAAATGTCAATGACTTTCACATAAATTTACTGGAAAAGAAAAAAACTATTTTCTCTAGGACGGGATCCTTTCCCAAGGAGCAGCTCCTCCTTACCTGCGCGGCACTGAGAAGGTGAGTCCGATAAATGGCGACCACTTCTTGGTGCTGTCTGGTGGCATCCTAGAAACGTGGGGAGGTGGACAGATCAGGACACCAGCTTTCTCATTCCAAACCCGTGGAGGCTTGTGACCACGCTGTCCTCGGGCCGGATGCTTCTCAACAGCAGTGTTACTGAAGTGCTCCTGCCCCTTCTCACAGCAACCCACCTGGACCCCAGATGCAAATTTCCACAGCCTACCGCTGGACCAACCTTTCTAATGAACGTGTGGGAACACTCATGGCAAAACCAGTGCCACATATCCCAGGTGACATAAAAGTGTTGCTGTAGCTCAGATATGATGCCGTGCAATTATCCAGGCACCAACGCGTGCTTCGGATCCTTGCAGAAGCTCCCCGCCCCGTCCCGTCGCTGGCTTTACTCCCTCTCGTGCTCCGAGGCCGAGACAGCTCTTTCCTCGTAGCACTTTTGACTCAAAACCCTTGGGTGACACCGCATCAGATGTGAGACAGAATCCAGGCTCGTCGGCCCGGGACCGCGTGCCGCCTGCTTCCCCTCCACGCCCTGTTCACGCCACTTCCTCGCCTGGGAGAGCGTCCACTCCCCTTCACCTGCCGGAACACCACCTCCCTGCAGGTCCGGGCCCGGCGTGCCCTCCTCTTTGAAACTGGCTGCCCCCACACCAGTTCTCCTCCTTTCCTGGGAATCCAATCACTTAGAATGTGGGACTGCGTTCTAAATTCTGTATTTGGTATTTTTTCCCTTTTGTCATTTTGCTTCTTGTGGATCTACAGTTTGGCTCTCGAGCTACCCAGAACTCCTTGGGGACAGGAACTGTGCTCTCCCTCTGTCCCCGACAGGACTTAGCACAGCACCGTGAACGTAATAAATGACAAACAGATGTTTCCGAATCCTGACGCGACTGCCATACCCTTTTGATAAGATCCAGATCAGCAATACGTCATCGTTAACCTGCAGGCCAGCGGTGTTACAAAATGAACACTTAAAAAAAACGACTTCCTTCTATTAAAAAGAACCCATAACAAATGCCTGCAGAGCAGGAAAGTGTCACCCAGTGATTCACACCTGACTGGGCTTCACTGTACTTGCCTTTCTCCCTCTCTGTTCCTCGTTCAACTAGAAAGCAAACTAGCAAGTACTCAGTTCTCATCGCCCTACTCGGTGGGTGAGGAAGCCAAGGGTGAAGGGAGCGTACCAGGTCACCCTCTTTCAAGTGGCAGGAGCCTCCTACCTTCAGCTTCTAAATCCAGAGGCTTCCTTTTAGTGCATAAGGAAGACACGTGTCCCTGTAGGTATCCGTATGAATATATATGCATCCAGGCGCTTTCCTTTAGTGCATAAGGACGTAAGGTATAAGACCATGGGAATGCCTGTCTTTATTCTTAAGGATGAAAGATTATTAAAGAAAAAAAAGAACTTCCTTTAGTTTGGTGGACCAACATCCTAGAGAGGGTGCCGCTGCTGGAAAGGCATCAGACTAGGAGTCAGCGAGACCCAGGACTAAGTCCAGACAGCTGTACGACCCCAGGTGTACTTTCGTCTTTGTTTCCTTAAGGATTAAACAGGGGCAACAAAACCTTGTACAATTGTGAGGAAGATAAAGTTTAAAGCAGGTAAAATGTTTAGTGTAGTGTCTGGCATGTAGTAAGTGTGTAAGTGACTAGTGTAAGTAACTTTGAGCAAAAGTGGTTGCACTTTTGGATCTGAACACAGCCAGAAAGCAGCCTGGTTCCTAAGTCAGCTTGCACCAGCAAGCAGACGCGCCCCGCACGAGCCGGTGGGGAGCCGGCGGCCCGGTACTCACGGCCAGCTGCTGCTGCAGGCACTTGACCTGGTGCTGCAGAGAGTCGACCAGCTGACTCTGCCTCTTACTGGGGCTCCCATCCGCGCAGGTGAGCTGGGGGAGGCCGCCGAGCGCCTGCTTCAGTCTTTCCACGTCATTAAGCAGTTCAGTTATCTTATAAGAAAAGAAAACAGTTGGGGGAGAAACATGTATTAGTCACCTACTCACTTATAATGAGCATCTTTACACAGAACTCATTCCTTGAGATGCAGAATTTACCTCAATATACCAGAAAACTGAGGAGTGAATACTGTGGAGATTGTTACCAACAGTATAAAAAAGGTGTAATTTCCTCTCAGTTAAGTTCCTTACAAAAGCAGCACCAAGTTAAGAATAAACATGACGTGTACCCTGAGATCTGGAGGCGAGCTCGGTCCTCCTAGTTTTAGGTCAGACGCGAGCACCTGTGAAGATGCGCCGGCCACCTGCCAGGGAGCCCGAAGCGCAGGGAGGCGGGGGACTCTCCCCACCAGAGGCTGAAAAGTAAACGCACGTGGCTCGTGTACATCTAGAGTTAGCTTGGGTACCTTGTTCTTTCCAAGAATGTACGATTCTAGATTACTTTGTATTAAAGAGAAAAACATGGGGAGACTATTTAGAGCAGTGGAAAAAACACAGGCTTTAAAGTCAGCCAGACCTGGGGCTCACCAGCTGTGCGAGCTCGCTCCCCCACTCTCCTGAGCCTTAGTTTCCTTATCAGTGAAAGGGGCCGATCTTTCATGGCTGAGAGAATCAAATGAAGTCACGAACGCACGTCTGGTACGTAGCAAGTGCTCAACACATGGCAACAACCATAGGCAGATACGAGAAACCTGCTGTTCAATGACATTTCATTTTACTCGTAACTGACTTTCAAACGAGCTGAGAGCTTCCCATCTGGGTCCCACGAGCAGACACGGCGGAGGTGAGCACCTGCGTGCTCCCGCTGAGGGGCTGGGGCGCGTCTGCCTTTGCTTATCGCTGTGTCCCCAGCACTAGGCCAGCACCTGGCAGGCAGGAGGCATCTGACAGTCGCTTGCTGAGTGGGTGAAACTGCTCTCCACCTGCCTGATCTCTCATCGTCATGGAACATGTTTTATTCAACTACCAGTTTCAAAAGCATTGCTGAGCACCTATTCGGTAAATCGTGCCATGAGAATGAAGGATAAGAAGGAAAGATAAGTTATTACGGATGTTGTAAATGGATGGAAAACCAAAACACAACCTGCATTTTGGGAGAGGAACAGTCTGCAGGCTAGGTTGGCCAGTGAGGGCTTCAGGAAGGAGGGTAAGTGCAGACACGCACTAAGGAATGTGGGGGACTTAAGGAGGTGGAAAGGAGGGGCGCCGGGCTGTAGGGAGATGTGGGGACAGGGGACAACGTACGACGAGCCGGAGGGCTCGGTGCACTGGGAGGGGTGAGCGCCAAGAGCGAGTCTGGGGGACCCACGGCGCCCTGAGTTTCTTGCAGCCCAGAAACAGTACTTCGCTGCCCTCCCTCACCATCCTTCAGGCCCCCTAAAACCCGTGGGTTCTGACCAATCGTTTCTGAGGCAAGTGTCCCATTGAGTCTCCCTGTCTTTCCTCAGTTCTTGGCTGTACCAGCTGAGGAAACAAAAGGAAAACTGCTTTTGATTTCTGTTAGTGTAACTGCACTTTTTTTCCAATTTTTTTCTTTTTGCACACCCAGAGTCACTCTGAAAAGGTGGCATTTAATGGTCACTTTGTTCGTGCCTTCGTAAACCCATCTTGCGGGTAAAGAGCCTCCTGTCCCCTGGCAGCTCTGCGCTGGGGCTTCCGGCGCAAAGCCACGCTCACCCACGGCGTCAGGATTACCTTGTTATCTTTGGCCTCGATCTGCTTGGCGGACTCCTGTATTCTGCTCTGCAGCTCTGTGATGGTTGTTAAGGACTTGTCACACCGCTCCTGCTGGTCCTTGATTTCTTGCTCGATGCTGAAATGGAGCAACTCCTTGTCACTCTTTGCAGACCGTTCCTTCTTTTTGGCACGCAGAGCCTCCTCACACGCCTCCTCGTACCTGCGATTCAGGTTGGCCAGTTTCTCATTTAAGCTGGAAACCTGCGTCTCCAAATCACTTTTCGTTGCTTTGTATTTAGACAGATCAACCACCTCTCTCGTCTCCAATGTTCTCAGTGCTCGCTTAGTGCTCTGAATCTCAGACTGGAGTTTGGAGACCTCTTCGGTTTTGTTCCGGCTTTCTTCTTCCTTCTCCCTCAAGCTGGCTTTGATGACCCCAGCTTCCTTCTCAAATGCCTCCTTCATCTGCAGGTGCTCTGCCAGGGGCACAGAGGCGTTCTTTTGATTCTCCAGCATCTGCTGCAGCTGGGCGACTGCCTGCTGCTCCGTCTCGTAGCACCTCTGCTTAGCCCTCAGCTCCTCCCGGAGCGCCTCGATGGTGCCATTAAGAGATTTCTTCAGGGCTTCAACCTGTTCCAGCGGGACGTGCTGTTTCTGCAGACGAGTTTGTGCAGCGAGGATCTCCGAAGTCTGCTTGGCGTTCTCCACCAGCTTCTCCTTCTCGCTCTCTGCCTCTGCGCACTTCTGCAGCAGGTCGCTCACCTGCCTGTTCAGCTCCTCTGTTCGCCTGCTCAGCGCCCTCTCCGCCTGCTGGGCCTTCTCGGCAGCAGCGCTCCTATCCCGCACGTCCTTCTGCAGAGCGCGGAGCTCGGTCTTCAACTGCTCGTTCTCCCGCTTGCGCTCCGTGGCCTCTGCCTCGCTGGCGTCCCGCTTCTGCGTCTGCGCCGACAGCTGTTCTTTTAGTTCTTTCTCTGTGGCTTTGAACTTCCTCTCACACTCTTCAAGGCTGGTAATTGGGGTGTATTTCAGCTTGATGCACTCCTGGATGGTGTCGAGCTCCCGTCTCTGGGCCGCGATCTCGGCGTGCAGCGTGGCGATCTCCTCCTGGCCCCGCTGGTAGCTGGCCAGCGCTTCAGCGCCGCGGTCCTGCGCCTTCTGCATGCTCTTCCTCACGGCGCTCATCTGTTCCTCGTGCTCCTTCAGGCTGATGTACTCTGCTTTTATTTGGTTCTGAGTGTTCTCCAGGTTTCTTTTTAATTCTTCGTTCTCCTCTTTTATTTTCACAAATCCCTGATTTATATCTTCACATTTCTTCTTTGTGTCTGCTAATTCTCGGTTGGTTTTGTCCAATGTGCTACTCAGCGCGGTTTTAACCTCTTCGTGGGTTTCCACTGGCACGTGCTGACGGCTCACGGTCTGTTTCAAGTTAGTGTTCTCGGAAATGAGCGAACGTATTTTCTCTTTGTCTTCACCACATTTTTTATTAAGTTCAGACAGCTGTTTCTTAAGTTCAACAATAGTGGATTTCAGAGCCATGATCTCTTTTTCGTGTTTCTCGGGAGGCACAAACGCAGTTTCCAGGCGGCTAACATTCTTACTTAAACTGGCGTTTTCCATCAGCAGTTTCTCCATTTCCAACTTCTTTTCTGTGTATTTCTGTGTCACATCTGAAAGCTTTTTATTCAAATCACCAACAAGTGCATCATGTGACTTTTTCATCTCTTCACTTACTTTTAAAGGAACGTAATGATCTTTCACTTCCGCTGTCAGGCTGTGCACCTGCTGGGTGAGGAGCTTATTATCCAGACAAAGCTTTTCAATTTCCTTCTGTAACGTCTGATTTTTTGATGTTAACTCAGCGGCCTTCCTCCCGAGTTCTGCTGGATTCTGCTCCAGCCTGCCCCTGAGCGGCCCGTGCGCCTCCACCTGGACATGCTGGGCCAGTCTGGCCCGCAAGCTCTCAAGCTCTCTCTTTAACTGTCGGATTTCGCTGAGCGATCTTTCGTACTCTCTTTCCACCTCCGCTAGTTTTTTCGCCTTCTCGCTCACTTCACTTGACAACAGGCTCTTCATGCTTTCAAACTTCTCGGCAGGGATGGCCAGGGCCAGCTGGGCCGACAGCTCCCTGAGCCGGCCCTCCAGCTCGGCAGCCTCCCTCCCGCGCTGCTCCCGCTCCGCGTGGCACCTGCTCACCTCCTCCTGCAGCCGCCTGCTCTCACCTGCCAGCCTGCCTTCATCCCTCCTAAAGCCCTCGACGAGCGCCTCGCTCTGTCTGACCTGCTCTCTCAATCTGCCCACCTCTGCAGTCGCGCCTTCGTATTTCGCTCTCATGTCCTTCAGCTGGTCCTTCAGCTCCTCCGTGAGCCTGTGGTTCCCGGCCGCTGCTTCACTTGTGAGGTGCTCCTTCAGGGCGAGAAAATGCGTCTGCATTTGCTTCACTTTGCCTTCCGACTCATACATTCTCCTCTGCACGTCTTTCAAGGCGTCTTCCAGCTGCTTTATCTGCTCATCTGAGTCCTCCTTGACCCTCTCACACTCCAGCGCCAAGGCTTTGCACTCTGCCACCTTGTGAGCCAGTTCGTTTTGAAGCTTGAGTCGGTCCTGTTTGGCTGAATCACAGAAAGTTCTCATTGCTTCCAACTCTTTTTTTAAAATTTCACTTTCTGAGTATGAGGTTTGATTGGGCAAGGAGAGCTCCAGGGGTCTTAACATAGACCTGCTCTGCATGTGGACTGGCACGCCTGGGGAGGCACACTGCAAAAAAAAACAGTACAACATTAGCCCCCGAAGCCTGAAGAAGACGCTTACCTAGCAGCCTCATCAGGTCAGCAGCCACAGGGCGCTCAGACTAGTCTACCAGAAAGACACAGCACTGGTCTCTGAGGTGAGGAAACAGCTCTGGGTGCAATTTCTTTAGTCAGCTCTCAAGCAGGGACACTTGAAAGCCTGCTCCCTTTAGTGTACTTCTGGAAGAACAAAGAAGGAAAATAGTCGTGGGCTCTGAGGAGGATTTTCTCTTTCCTTTCCCATTCGTAGTACCTGTCCATACACGAATGGCGCCTTTGTCAGAACACATTTACCACTTCCCTGCTTCACGGCACATACTGTGCTTAGAACTTCAAATTCTGAAGAAAGTAGAAACAAGGGCTTTGCAATTTTAAATCTACGAAAAATTTCATAGAATGATATATTATTTCCTAACAACATACATTGACTTCTGAGGACCCTCATTGTTAACTCCAGTGTAATGTTATTTAAATTATAAAAATACCACCAAAATAAAGTTAGCTAGTATAACAATCATCAAGAGAATGTTAATCAACTCACAAAGTAGAACCACGTCGTCTTCTCTCACACAAAAGGATAAACTAGAATTTCGCATACATCTTACTACAAAATTTGATTGACATCGCGTTCCCTCTACTAAATGCTGACAAAAGAAGTATGATTTAACTTCTCATTGAAAGGGTTAATAAACATCAGAACATATAGCATCAAAGACTAAATTTAACTGTTTCTATTCTTCCCCCTACACCTGTTACAGTGAGCGCGCTTTTCTTTAAAAGTAGTAGTTCGTTGGGGAAAGCCCTGTGCTACGGGTGCCTCCCACGACGTTAACAGGCAGGCCTCGCCGTTGTCAGGTACCTCCACACGCCCCCCAGGGGTCAAGAAGGTACGTAACAGCACGGGTAATTTCTCAGCCTCAGTCCGCTTCTGATTATCTTTCAACTTACCGACTATCTTTAGACTAAGACTACAACAAACTACCACACAGCTTCACAATTTCCATTTGCATTTTACTATAACCAAATGTTTATCTAATCTTCTTAAATGTTATTTGGTTGATTGGCATCCGTTCTCTCAACTTAGACTCTCAGGCGTTTCCAGCTTAGAGTGACCTCAGACGTCACGGAGGCTGACGCAACTCCGCCCCAGATGTAGGTACGTGAGAAAGCCTGCAAAAGCCCAAAGGTCGCCCAGCTCCGCAGGCCACAGAAGGCACCAGAAGCACAAGCCTGTCACAGCTGCTGGGAACTGAGAGTGAGGAGCAGACAGACAAGAAAATCAGACCGCACCCCCCACGGAGGCTTCCTTCATCTCGAGGGGAATTGCCAAGGCACAGAAGATACACTTGAATGTAAGGAACAATGCACTTCAGGGTCAGAACAAATGTCTTTAGAATTATTCACACCTATTCTCCCCCTTAAATGAGCAAACACAAAGAGCTGACTGCCTAATGTCAAAGAATACAGACATACTGTCAAAGCCAATGAAACCCCAGTTCAGATCTCTTCAGTCACCGTCACCAAAAGCACTCTAGAGGGCGCTACACAGAGCAGCACCTGCTTCCCTGAAACTCAGGACCACAGACCAACCTTCCTCTGAAAATGAGAGCCTTACTCAGCGTATATTTACTTGAGAAACAGACAATGCTATTTCCTCTTTTCAAAACGGTACAAATATTTTTATGAAGTTTTAAAATTAGTTAAAGTCCATTACCTGTGAGTCTGTCACGTACACTTGACCTTGTTTAAGAAGCGTATCTTCTTTTCCTAAATAAATCCAAATAAACGATGTCTTAAATATCACACCAAAGAGAGCTAGGTATTACCTGGGTGTTACGATCTCCTTTATTATTCAAATAAAAGAGAAACATGAGTTACAACATAAAATCATTTTGTTCTACAGTATCCATACTTTTCCTTATTATCTCCATATATGCAAGGAAAGCACCTATATTCTTCTGAATAGATACTGAGCTGGTTTTTAGAATCACGTAAAACTGTTAGTCTAAACATGCTAAATAATTGTTATAAAGTAAGTACATTGCAGTCAAAATGAAAACAGTGTTCCTTGCAATTTATAGGGTAGATATTACTACTGCACTTAGCTGATGGATAATTTAATATTCAAAGGAAGCAAAAACTTAGATTTTCTAGAGAAACTATTTAAAATTGGAGAATAAGCAAAAGTGAAGATTAATTATACACAGTCTTAAAATAAGTAATAAATAAGCAACTGCTTATGAAACTTCTAGCCAATTTTAAAGGCTTGCCTGCACTGAGACCACAGCCAAAGGCGTCTTCAAGTCAGAAAGCTACGCTGGCGCCTCTTCCCATAAGAAGCAGCCCCAAATACCGCGAGACAAACGTCTGCCACCGACAAGACAAAGCTGGTAATTCACGCAAGACACAGCTTAAAAGTCTAGGGCCCAAGGGAAATCAGAGCCTCAGCGACGACCAGGCTGTTGGTCAGAGGCTACAGCAGGCGCCTTGGCCCCTCCTGGCTCCAGGCTGGAGGACAGCACCCGGCAGCCGGCTGGAGTCTTCCAACAGCATATCACGCCACTTGGACAAACTAAAGAGGCAGAAGCAGTCTTCTCTGCTTGAACCGGGTGAACGGTAATGACATCTATACTTCATACTTACGGTTACTGAAGTGACTTCCTGATCCTAAATGATCGCTCTGAAAGCAGAAGTATAAAGTAAAACATTTTAGGTGAATACTGTTTCATTTTGCTAAATCCTGTACCTAGTTTAGCTCTAAATGACTGAGTCATTAAAACCACATTTTCAACATTCCTTGTTCCTCATGAGTGTCATCCTACGCAAACTCACAAAAAGGCAGAGCTCCAGCGGCAATTAGAGACGTCGGCTGGGAATAAAGCACTTCACTAAGCATTTTAGTAAAAGCAGCCAAGCATTTCAAGGAAAAACTTTACTGCTCAAAAGAAAAAACAAGTGCGCTCCAAAGGGCCCAGATAAACTCCCGTGTTCTCTCAAGCTGTTCCGAGTGGAAAGCTCGTATGGTGGTTAAGAGCACAAACTGCCTGAGTTCAGGTTCTGGCTCTGACACTTCCTGTTATTTATGAACCCCTGATGAGCGAACCGCTCTGTGCCTCAGTCTCCTCACTTACAAAGTGGAGACAACAGTAAAACATACCACAGCAAGTTGATGTGTTTACTAAACGCACGTAAAGTGCACAGAGCAGCTTCTCGCAGGTGGCTGGGGCTACGAAGGTGTTAGCACCACCAGTTTCACTATTACCTTTAAATTAAGGTCTTCAAATACGAAAAAAGACGGACGCCACTACACTAGGTCATTCTTTAGCTTATAAAACTGTGTTTCTAAATAATCTCAGAATTCTGTCATTTAATATAAACATATCTTTTTGTTTCATTTTTAAAAACGTACCAAGGCATAACTCACTTGCAATAAAGCACACTTGAATTTCTGCACTTGTATACTTTGTGTAATCACAGCTCAGACCAAGATACAGAGCATGTCTCGCGCCCCCAGGAGCGTCTCCATGCCCCGGTCTAGGCAGGAACCCCTCACCAAAGGGCGGCCTCCACTCTGACGTCCCTCTCAGCACAGATTAGTTTTGCCTCGTCCTGCCCATCAGAAAACTGGGATCATGCAGTGTGTGCTGTGTCTCATCTCTCAGGCAACATTATGTCTGTGGGATTCATCCACGCCTTCACCTACTTCTTCACAGCTGTACCCATTTTTTTATTTATAAAGAAAAATTTCACTTTTGTTATGTACTCTGGAGTTATATTCCCCCCAAATGATAAAAGACTCACACTGAATCAGCCACTCTCTTCAGTGACTCCCCCCCCCCAGCGATGAACAACACTCATAAAATACACGTCACGGCTTTAAGCCGCGCAGCTCAGAGCCGGGAGCGCGGCCACCCCCCGCAGGCAGCCGCTGAGGAAGCCTCTGGGCACCAGGGGCGTGCTGCTCCCTGATCGAGGGGTGTTCCGCTTGTGAAAATTCTTTAGCTTATACAACTTTAACAGGTGTCTTTCAATGTATATTGCATCTTGATGAAAAGTTTTTAAAAATTCATGGTTGTCAAAAAACTAACAGCAAACTGAACCAACAAAAGGCAAGTATATGATCTGAGAGTTATTAACACATTGCTCTCACCAAACAAATCTGTGTGTGCGCAAGACCCCTTCTGAGAGGATCCTGGAAACACCCCTACTCATTTACATGACGCTTTTTATCATCGCCATCACAGTCACTGTAACTTTACAGGTAAAAGTACTTTGCTTTGAAAAGGTAAAGATGGACGAAGAGGAAAGTTGGGGAAGAGAAACTGGAACTGAACCAAATGTCAGCTTAGTCAACGTCGGCGACTTCATTTATCCTTTATACCAACGCCGGAGGAAGGGACAATCACCCCAACTCGGCCGAAGCGGCAGCGCGCTCGGAGACCCTAACTGAGCGGCCCGAGGGCCCGCCGCGAAGAGGAGTGACAGCGCAAACGCAGGTCAGGCGTCGCGCCCTTTGCCACTGCCCGCGAGGAGCTACAGGAACCAAGCAAGCCTTCTGTACCTCAAAATGCTTGAATCTGCTTCTCAGAGCCTCAATCGTTCGTAGGCTGTCTTCGTGCTGCTTTTCTTTAGCTGCCAAAAGGGACTTCAGCTTTTCTTTCTGAAATGGAAAGGAATAAATACAGAGCAAAATCACCCTGGGCTTGAAATCGGGTTAAAAATGTGCTTTAGAAAATGTGAATTAGAATTACTGTGAGGACTGCAGTTAATGAATTCTCTAACCTGATGGATTTTTAACAACTAGTGGAGCTGATACCCCAACTGATATAAATATACTAATAAAATATACTATATATAAACAATATTATGAAAAGTACAAATCTCTGTGGTTTGTTTTAAATCTTATTATTTTCAGACGTTTTCTCTGGGATGTTTTGAATTTCACATCTTCTCAGGAACTTTCGCAGAAAATGAGACACCCGTCCTCACAAGACACCTCCCCAGTCGTGCGCAGCAGGCTTTGTTTCCCCCTCTGAGCAACAACCAAAACCGGACAGAGCCCTGCCCGTCCCAGTTCAGGACTGAGCACTCCCCTGCAGCACTGTCTTCCATTTACGTAACGTTTTACAGCTTTAAAGCAAAATTTGTCAGCCTACCTCACTTTCCAGATCATCAGCAACCATGACTTCCTAAATTAAAAAAAAAGAGAAAGAAATGTATTTTCACTCTTAAAAGTCTCTTTTAAAAGGCATGAGTTTGGCGAGTGTCTTTCAAAAAGACTGGACACGTCTTTAAGACCAGGGACGAGGAGGTGACAAGTGTCTCGTGCCCCCATTCCCGTAGTCTGCGTCGTCACTCCTCCTCCTCGCTGACTAGGTCCAGAAGCACTTGCGACTCCCCGGAGAGGCCGTCAATCACCTGCAGCTCGGACCTGCCCCCCGCCCCTGGCTTCTGCCCACTCCTTCCCTCCAGCCCCACAGCCCCAGCCATAGCTCAGTGCTTGGCCGTCGCTCTGTCCTCTCAGACCTGACATCAGAAGTTT